TCATTGGTTATTCCATTCTGATATTTGTCATAGGGATTTGCCATGGATGTTGTCTCTTCTGGGTGGGAGGAGCCCAGCAACCATTACCCCCAGCTAGTCTCATGAAGAAAGCCCATCTATCTTTCTCTCCATGGTGCTGGATGTGTGGTGGAATGGCCACTGGTGGAGATGTTTGCTGAGATTAATTTCTTGCAGTTTCCTGTTAAAACTTCGCAGCCTGGGCCTGCATGGTGAAGTTGCATGAATGGGGTTGATGAGTTGATAGATTGGACATCCCAGACTTTTGTTGCCATTAATCATTATTGCATGGCTAGATGTGTCATCATGGGGGATGGAGAGTAGCCCTTTCCTATGATGCAACAGCCCCAGTTGCAATGTATGGCTGTGAAAGTTGGACCACAAGAAAGGTTGAGTGCCAAAGAATTGAGACCTTTGATCTATGGTGCTGCAGAAGACTCGTGCGAGTCCCTTGGACTGCAAGGCGATCAAACCGGTCAGTTCTAGAGGAGATCAACCCTGACTGCTCTTTAGAAGGCCAGGTCCTGAAGATGAAACTCAAATATTTTGGCTATCTAATGAGAAGGAAGGCCTCACCGGAGAAGAGCCTAATGCTGGGAACGATTGAGGGCAAAAGAAGAAGGGGACGGCAGAGAACGAGGTGGATGGATGGAGTCACTGAAGCAGTAGGCGTGAGCTTAAATGGACTCCAGAGGATGGTAAAGGACAGGAAGGCCTGGAGGAACATTGTCCATGGGGTCGCGATGGATCAGACACGACTTCGCAACTAACATCATCATCATAGAGGACCCGTGGTGGTTATTATTTTGCCCTGGCTTGGCTTGCTTGTACTGAGAGCAACTGCTTCTTCTTTATATGCAGTTCCTGAAGCCATTTGTGATGTCATGTGAGTGTGAGAGATTTGCAGTGCCATGGTAACTGAGCCATCCTTTGTGGCATAATTTTCTATAAAAACTAAAGTAATATAGCGTGTTTTTTTTTCTCTTGCACTCTGCTGATATATTTAGATCAGGAAAAGGCTTACAAATCTCTAAAGCCAATTAAAGATAACCAGCATGATCTCCCTGCCAGAGATTTTCAAAATGTTTCCTAGGTAATTAAAAAAAAAAACCTAGAATCCGAATGTCATTCATTAAGAAACTTCCCATCTCATCTGGAACACAGGTCTTGCTTGGCTGGTCAATGGCTTCTTGCTCTACCCTTCACTGGACTTGTAGACATCATCTCTATGCTCAAGACTAGATAAACGTAGAATTAGAAAAATGGTTAAAATTTGGGAGAGAAACTACAAACTGACTATAGCCGTGGCCTATAAAGAATATCTTTACAAAATGTTTTATAGGTGGCATTTTTTTTTTTTAATTTGATTTATATGCCGCCCTTCTCCGGAGACTCAGGGCGGCTTACAGTTAAGCAATAGCCTTCATACTTTTGCATATTTATACAAAGTCAGCTTATTGCCCCCACAAACTGGGTCCTCATTTAACCTACCTTAGAAAGGATGGAAGGCTGAGTCAACTTTGAGCCTTGGAGAGATTCGAACCAGCAGTAAATTGCAGGCAGCTGTGTTAATAACAGGGTGCTTTAAACCACTGTAGTACCAAGGCTCTTTTGCCACCAGCAAGATTGGCCAAGATGTACAAGAACTCCCCCACCAATTGTTGGAAATGTAACCAGACTCCAGGAACATACTACCACATGTGGTGGACATGTAAGAAAGCAAGAAGTTATTGGGAGAAAATTCATAATTGGTTAGATATGATAATTAAGCAACGTATTGAGTTCAAACCAGAAACGTGCCTTTTAGATATACTGTCAGAAAGTTATGACAAAACAACCATTTACTTAGTGTTACATATATTGACGGCAGCTAGAGTTATATATACTAAATTTTGGAAAAATGCGAACACTCCATCGGATGATGACATACTGTATTTTTCGGAGTATAAGATGCTCCGGACTATAAGACGCACCTACCTTTTTTGGTGAGGAAAACAATCTGCCTCTGCCTCCCAGGAATTATGCCTTGTTGGAGCAAACAGCAAACAGCCTGCTTTACTTTCATTTTCGTTTTCAGCATAGCTTGATTGGCACAAGAAAAAAAAAATCTGCTCCAGCAATTTATCTCCTTGCAGCAAGCAGCAGAGGCCCACGCAAAACAGGTGAGAGCAAAACAGCTGAGAGTCGGGAGGCCGATCCAATCAACTTATGCTAATTAGGATGTGCTGAAGCTGAACGGAGCTGTTCTTCTTGCTGTTTGCTGCAAGGAGATAAATTGCTGGGAGGCAGAGGCCAAAGGGTGGGGGCCAGTGGGTGGGCAAGGCTACATTCAGTGTATAAGATGCACCTAAATGCGGAAACAATTGAAGAATCCCAAGATATCGCTGTATATAAATAGAGGCAAAATGTGCAGTTGAGTATTACATATAAAATGAATTTAACTTAATTTCCACACACTCTAAACCAGGGGTCTGCAACCTTAAACACTCAAAGAGCCATTTGGACCTGTTTCCCACAGAAAAGAAAATACTGTGAGCCACAAAACCTGGGTGGGCGTGGCCAACGTCACTCACTTCCACCAATCACATGACACACACTCCTAGCCACGCCTACCCAGACGGTCATTAGAGCAGAGAACCGATTGTTAAAAAACATCAGGAACCACAAAACCCTTTTGACAACTCACTCTCCCTCCCTCCCTCCCCCCCTCTCTCCCCCCCCTCCGTATCTCTGTCTCTCTGTCTCTGTCTCTCCCTCTCTCTGTCTCTGCCCTGGCCGCTTCTCCATCTACCACCATCGCCCTTACCTTCTCAGGCCAGGCAAAGAGTGACTGGGAGGGGAGGGCGAGGGGCGGGGCCAGCCAGTGGTGGGATCACCCGACAGGGAGCCACAGCAGAGGGCCCAAAGAGCCGCATGCGGCTCCAGAGCCACAGGTTGCTGACACCCACTCAATACTTATTAATATTTGTGAGTGTCAACAAGCATTGACACCCACAAGAGTTTTAAACACATCAGGAATTTTTAACTCTGGTTTGTTGAGTAAGCCACAGCAGCTACCAGTAGAATCAACAATAAACACCATGTCATACACCACCAATTTCGAATCAATGATTGGCTTAATGTATGAGATTAATGTGATTTATCATGATTCATCAGTCAAATTAGAATACACCAGGGATAGGTCATACATTTCCCTTTTTTGGCTGTGTTGTTGTTGTACGTGTTCAAACAACATACTTAATCAGATCATTGCGCATTTTGACAAACTTTAGGTTGGTTACTTTTAATCTTGGTTATTGTTGGGGATGGCTTAGTACATTGTGTGAACACCATCAATCCAATCCTGAAAAACCAAGCTCTAGTCTAATACATCTTCATTATTTTGAGAAGGTATTGCACATTTTCTTAACTCAGCTTTATTGCAAACCCCCTTGGAATATATAAAACAGGTTGCAGCTCCCTCAAGTGGCCTAAATTGGACACATAGAATCCACAACTGTGTTTCTCTAAAATGCACATTGAACAAAGTCCAAAATGCTGTACTTTAGACTTTTTACAATGAGGTAAAAAAAAAAAACCATATTGTTGAAAAAAAGCTAATTATTGTGAGTCTATGGGTCAATTAATTGCTATTCACTTTTTAAAATATGTTAACTAGCAAGTCTTCAAATATATAGGAATTGATGCCCTCTCCTAGTCACAGGGAATTTTAGTTAAGATTGTACATAAACTTCCTTTTAAAACCATTTCTGGGTTCCATGACAGTTGCAGTCCTATCCTTGTGAGTAGACACCACTGAACTAAATAGGATTTACTTTTGAGCAGACCTAAGTCAGGTTCCTATACGGTTTGGATTTGACTTAACATTACTGTCTGTTCAAAAAAATAATAATCATGGTTTATTATTAACTGTATTTCAAGTATTTCTGCCCATATTCAGAAGACAGCCTCGTAAGGAAAAGTATTAAGAGATATATTTGGTTAATTAAAGGAACCCTATACCATAAGACGCGGTGGCTCAGTGACTAAGGCGCTGAGCTTGTCAATCGAATGGCCGGCAGTTCAGCGGTTCGAATCCCTAATGCCGCATAACGGGGTGAGCTCCCATTCCTTGCCCCAGCTTCTGCCAATCTAGCAGTTTGAAAGCACGTAAAAAATGCAAGTAGAAAAATAGGGACCACCTTTGGTGGGAAGATAACAGCGTTCCATCCGCTTTAGGCGTTTAGTCATGCCAGCCACATGACCACGGAGACGTCTTCGGACAGCGCTGGCTCTTCGGCTTTGAAACGGAAATGAGCACCGTCCCCTAGAGTCGGGAACGACTAGCGCATATGTGCAAGGGGAATCTTTACCTTTACCTATCACCATAAGAAACAAGATAATACCGTTCTCTCTCACTGGAATTAAGACTGATGGTTTAAATGAAGTTCTCTATATTAATATATCATCTTGGTCTTTTCTGCCTAGAACCATCTTCAGCAAAAAAACAAAAACAAAATTTGCCATTCATTATGTAACCATCATGCAATCACAAGAACTTTCCCTGCATCTTAGTACTTCCCCTCATCCATTTTCTTTTAAATACTCCACTCTGGACTTAAACCTCTGTACAAAACTTCTTTGAATGCTTAGCAATAAAACCAATATATAAATTCAGTGGATGGACCCATATATGACATTAATCCATATTCTGAATTATTTTGAGACGGAATATTCATTGTAACCTGCAAACTTAATTTATGGCTTCAGGTTACGGGTAAATCCAGCTAACGGTGTTTTAAGACTATAAGCCATAGTCTTAAAGCAACAGAAGCATCAGAATACTAACCCCCCCCCAAAAAAACCCCTCCAAAAATACAACCATTTCTTCAAAAGCACTGCATAAGCACATTGTGAAATCCGGGGGGAAAAAGACAGTCAGTCAAGTTAGAATATTTTGTCCTGGTGCACTATATTGAAAATACTCAAACGAAACACAAATCCAGATTCCAAAGTTCTGTATTTTTCAAAATAAAGATCACACATTGTTTAGAGACAATCTACACAAGAGTTACAAAAAATAGTTGCCCAGGCATAAGCATACACAGGTTTGTTAATTATACACATATGGTTACAAGTGTGCTCGCAAAAAGGTTCATTGGAAATATACACAAGGCTCTGTAAATGTACACCGTGTAGTGTTACAATTCTATATTCAAACAAGGAAAATTGACAGTATGTTACATTCACTTACAAGTAGACAAAATGCAAAATACAGTTTATCTTCTGTACAAAAAGGCAAAGTGATTTCACACTTTACAAGGTGAGAGAGGGACTCTGATTGAAAAGGAATTAAGGGGTGTGTTTTTATTTTATTTTTTTACTGCCACAAAATAAGTAAAACATTGCTTTTCTTTTTTCAAAGAGTCAAATAAACACTATTTTTTAACTGAATCGTTTGTGTGTAACATTTAGAAAGGATTGCTACTCTCTTGACTAGGTGACAAATAAAAAAAAAAAAAAACCCAAGCATTTTTCCTTTTAAACATTAACCAGGCTGTATAAAGAGAACATTTCTTTCCAAAGAAAAAAATTTACTTCTGGTTGAAATTACAATTTACAATATACAACACTATATGCTACGACCATAAAAGGGGTGAATATACACTGAAATGCACAGGTTTTGCTAATTTATTTTCTTACCAAAAATGGGTTTATGTTGATTCAAACTTCTCCACATTTACATTACAGAGGTTTACAAATGTACAATTGTACAATCAAAAGTATGTTCCACTACTAGGGTACATTATAGATACAGATTAGACATCAAAACAAGAAAATACTACAAATTTTTATATATGCAAAGTCTACACCAAGTATACACTATATATTTATAGAAGCAAGACCAAAGTTGAATTGGATTCTTTTCTACATGCTAAATAATTAAAAAAAATTGCCTCTGTGTTAACAGAAGAACTGTAGTAGGGCAGTAACCACACACCAACCAGCTATTTAAAAAAAACTCTTGGTGTGTATGTTTTCTCCCCAAAGTTGACTGCTAAGCTCAATTCTTTAGCACTTAGTACTATGAAAAAGGAATTTTTTAAAAGTCTGTGAAACTTAAAAACTTACCTTAAATTGAAGCTTTAGCAAACTGATTTTTTTTTTTAATTTATAAACAGTGTTAAATGCAGATCTGCGCAATTTAACTAAAACTTCTCCTTGAGTGTGGACTAAAAGAGAACAAAACGGTTGTTTCCAAAAAGCTCTCCTGTAAGGTAGAGGAGTTAAAAACGTTTTTTTTTTTTTTAAATTTCATATTAGCCACTTTGAAAGTTTCCATATTTGAAATAGTTACATCAGTGAACAAAAATGTGGCTTTCCATGTACATTTGTTGCCTATGTACAAGAATTCTATACACCACTGAAACAGCAGGGCAATTTAAAAAAATAATTAGTACATGTTATGCAGGATAAAATTAAAGAAATTTACAAAGGGGATTTTTTTTTCCTCCCTTCCCCTCCCAGCTTTTTTCTGTTTAAATTTGTTGACTAGTTTTATTTTGTCGTTCTCGTAATATCTATATGTTGAGCAACCATGAATATTTTTCAAAGTATATATTAGAGCTTGACAGGTTGCTGGTTGTGAATTCCAGGTACTATGGTCACAAATTCTCTTCCGCAGCTCAGTGTTTCAGATGATGCCATTTGGTGGTCCACAAATAGGCCCAAGGTCAACCCCGTTCTTCATGTAATACTTCTCCAGCTTGGCCAAGATGTGTTTCCCGTACGTGTATTTGCGGAGAGTGGCAATGTGAGGTCGGATCTAGGGGATGAGGGTAGAGGAATTTAAGCACAAGTGGTTCACAAGTACACTCACACAAGTACACTATGACTGCTGAATTACATAGGATCAGGGTTATCATCCTGGATTACACAAGTGATCCTGAAATAAATAGTCTGACAAGAGATAAATCAAGCTGCCACAGAGTGGATTTAATAGCAATAGCACTTAGACTTATACACCGCTTCACAGTGCTTTTACAGCCTTCTCTAAGTGGTTTACAGACTCAGCATATTGCCCCCAACAATCTGGGTCCTCATTTTACTCACCTCGGAAGGATGGAAGGCTGAGTCAACCTTGAGCCTGTTGAGATTTGAACTGCCAAATTGCAGGCAGCCGACAGTCAGCAGAAGTAGCCTGCAGTACTGCACTCTAACCACTGCGCCACCACGGCTAATGCAAACTTTGAACTAGGCAATGAATGGCAACAGCCATTTCTAGCTTCATACAGACAGTGCCATGATCTGTTGTAAGAGTGAATTCAGAGACCAATGAAACTAAGCCAAATTGGATCTTGGAAACTTGGTTGAACTGGCAGGTGCAAAATGGAGGTGCCAAGTTCTGACTAGCCAGTATTAGGGAGACACATCTGCATGCAATGATTTATACTTCCTCTGAAGTTTTCCCATGTGTTTCCAATCCCTGTAATGATCTGGGATCCTCCCAAATAATGCATTTTAATGTGTGTCATCCAATCCCTTGGTAGTCATCATGGTTGTGAATTAAACTAGTGGTCCCCAACCTTTCTGGCTTGGCTGGGGTGGGGAAGAATAGTTGCATGCGAGCGGCAGGTGTGCATGTTCACACTAGTGGAGCTGTGTGTGCGTGCGCTCACCCGCTGCTTGTGTAGCCCTGTTCCAAATGGGTGGCAACCCAGGGGTTGGGGATCCCTGCATTACACGATATTCACTTGCATTCTGATCCCTCTTCATGATATTCAGTATTATAAACTGAATAATGCAAAACCAGCACATATGATTCATTTAAACAGTATTTGTATTTTAGTAGGGAAAGCAGATTCCCCCCCCCCACCCCCAAAACCCATCATTCAAGATGCTATCCTATAACAAAAACACAGAGGTAGCTTTGACACAGCTTCTGTTGTTCTGATAAGCAACTCTGAAGGGGGAGTGGCATCTTTCAGGTCCTTGGGTAGTACCTCCAAGAAATGGCTTTCCGTGGTTTTTGCTTTGGCTGTATTCCAACCAAATAGAACAGGCAAATCCAGGCCATCGACTCACCTTGTGCATCACAATCTTCCTTTGGGCTGGCTCTGCCACATCAATCATTTTCTGTACCACGTAATTGGCATACTGATCTTTCATCATGGTGTATAAGGCACTGTGAGGGCCATCGTTCATAGTACACACCTCATCAATCAGCATGGCTCGTTCAGTGCGGGAGGCATGCGTGACGCATTTCTCCACGACATTGCTGTAGCAAATTAGAAAGGGTACCAGTTATTTGCTGGCATCCCAACAGGCATCCATATCAATGGATTTTGCAAAGTATTTCACGCATCTCCAAGTGTGGATATGCACATCCACAGAGGAAAGAGTCATAAAACATTTGAACTCTTTTCTCCTTGTTACATAAGAATGCAGACTGGGAAATTGAAATAAATGGTCAGGACTGAGTTTTGGCTTGAGACTGAGAGGTAGTGTCCTCTATAAGCAAGGTTCAAAATAGGCTCACTAATGCTGGCTAACTGATATCAAGAGCAACTAGAAATAATGCACAGATATTATCTAAAGGTAAAGGTTCCCCTTGCACATATGGGCTCATTGTTCCCGACTCTAGGGGGCAGTGCTCATCTCTGTTTCAAAGCCGAAGAGCCAGCATTGTCCAAAGACATCTCCGTGGTCCTGTGGCCGGCATAACTAAACGCCAAAGGCACACAGAACACTGTTACCTACCCACCAAAGATGGTCCCTATTTTTCTACTTGCATTTTTTACATGCTTTCGAATTGCTAGGTTGGCAGAAGCTGGGACAGGTGACAGGATCTCACCCCATTATGCGGCACTAGGGATTCGAACTGCTGAACTGCTGACCTTATGATCGACAAGCTCAGCACCTTAGCCACTGAGCCACCACATCCCTTAGATACTACCTACATTCATCTCAAAAACAACTGCTTTACAACATAGCATGTCCCCATCTCTAACTTCTTCATTTACCTTTAAAAGGTATCCTGAATTGACAAATATAAAATAGTTGGTTAGACTAGAATGAAGATTATGTTTCTAAATACACTCTGAACACTGCTTCATATCAACAGCAAAATTGCTCATAGATATTCTTAGTTCCTGAAGGAGTAACAACTTCATCCTTCTCTAGTATTCTACATTACACTACACAGAAGCTGCCCCCAGCTGGAATTAGATAATACTTTGGTCCTGATTTGGAGGGACGTGTTGGTGCAAACATTCTTTACTTCCACAGATTTGAATTATGTTCCATACAAGGGCAGTACTGGATAAAACTAAGCAACACAACACCGAGATAACCTAATCTTTCATCTTGGTCTGTTCCGTGACTGCATTTGAACTCCACTCATGCAGAATTCATGATTCCAGTACCATTTAGCTTCTCCCCAACTTCCCAATGCCACATTCTGCCTTATGTAACTGTGCCCACTAAAGAGATCTGAAAATACATTTGCGGGATGGGAGCAAAACTAATAAATGTTTTATCATTACGAGGCATTCTGATGCTTTATTTTGAAGCTGTAGCTTTTCTGTCCATATATGAAGAACAGAAGCTTTTCCCATTTCAGGTTTTTTTTTCCCTACAGCTAATTATTTAGAAATAGACAGAAAAGGAATGATGATGATACCTGGCAAATTTGTGCTGACTCAGTACAAGCACGTTGCCTCTAATTTCTGCCACGATCTTGCTTTTATCTTCAGGTCGCCCATGTTCAAGTACATGTTGGATAACATAGTTCCCATATTGATCCTGTTTGGGTAGACAAACAGGAGATTTAAGTCTTAAAACCCTTTTTATGTTAAATATCCTTAAAACGCAATTGCGATTACGCAGTACTGTGTAATAAGCTGGGCTGTAATCAAATCAACTAATTACAATTTTCACTTCTGAAATGGAATGCCAAAACCATTGCCTTCTCATTGAATTCTTTCTGTGTCAAATGTGTATCCCAACTTTCATTCAGGAACTTAACACAATGTATACAATGCTTGTGCCTATTTTTCCCCACAAAAGCCTGAGAGGTAGATTGGTGGGTTGAATAGGATACCCAGTTGCTACGTTTCCTACTGCTAGTCTAACACCTTTAATAGTATAAGTCAATGTTTCTCAGCCTTGGGCTACAATTCACAGAATTCTCCAGCCAGCTATGCTATGCTGGCTGGGGAATTCTGGAAGTTGAAATCTACACATTTTATAAGTTGCCACGGTTGAGAAACTCTGGTATGCATTTGATCCTTGTTTAGCTACCACAATTGGGATCGACAACTAAGAAAGTGAAATCACTACTACGCTCATGATCTTACTTCAGCATTCCTTTGCTTTACAGACCTGCTAAGGTCATACATGCAAGTATTGGTCATCAAGTAACTTTTTCATTACTATTGCAAACTGTAATTGGTCACTAAGCAAGGCAGTCGCTAAGCAAGGGCTACCCAGACCCTGTATTTTCTGCCCTTCTCCAATCTGGTTATCTTCTGGAGGTGGGGAGTTAAACTCTCAAGATTTGCCCACCCAGCATCGTCATCACTGAGAATTTTGAAAGCCAATCACCTATCCGGAGAACATCCCAATACCAGAAGTCTGTGCAATTTCATGTATGATTTGACAGATTACCTGCACAAGCTGTTCTGTGTGTTGATGAAGCTCTTCCAGGATAGGGAGGGTCTGTTCAGGTAGACAGTGTTCAAGGATCCTCTGAATGACCCGGCAGCCATAGGGATGGGTTGACAAGGCAAACACCTGAGTTCAACAGACAGAGGTGAGGACAGGGTAAAAATCCTTATTCAGAACAGCCTAAATTTAAAACAAACAAACAAAAAAAACAACAACAGGCAATGTAGCATGTCAAATATTTTTTTTAATACTCGCTCGTTTATCACTCACTGCCAGGCTCCAAAAACTGTGAAACTGAATTCTTTGTACATTTTAAAACTTGATGTTAAGATAGATGGTGACATGGTGCAGTTGGAAGAAAAATGGTCATTTTGAGCTTTCAAAGCGTCATCTTGAACTACCTTGTTTTCCTGCAGTTCTGGAAAAGAGAAGGTAGCCTTGGCCTACTGCATGCTGGATTATGTGAACACGGCAATGCTTTTAGCTTTCTGCACATGACTTCTTGGCTCTTCTCATGCGCAGGGCCCTAAAATCCTGCTGAAGGATTCAAATACTTTTTTTTTTTTAAACTGGCTGTTCGTTTTAGAGAGATATCTATCCCCATAGGATACTTTGACTTTCCATCCCTTCTTAAAACTTAGCTCATTTTTATGATTTTTGCTTTTCAGCTCTTTAATTTCAGTTTGAGTGCATACACAATTTGCTCAGTGACTTTGGGAAAATATTTGGAATTTAGACAATGCAAGGCAGAAACGTGGAGATGCACTTCCATATCCACACACATATAGGTCTGAAGAAATTTTCCATCTTTCATTGCTCTTTGCCTCTCCCAACACTTTCCCAGTTACTCTGTATGAAACAATATACATATATTGGTGGAAAAACAATGGTAATAGCATCCCCAGTTAGAAATGGGGGGGGGAGGGGGCGCTATTGGAGAGCAGCAGACAAGGGGCACAGATCAGGTCACTAAGTGTAACTTTTCAAGGGAACAAAGCAGAGGTGGGTTTCAACAGGTTCTGACCAGTTCTGGAGAACCGGTAGCGGAAATTTTGAGTAGTTCGGAGAACCGGTAGTAAAAATTCTGACTGGCCCCGCCCCCACCTATTCCCTGCCTCCCAAGTCCCAGCTGATCGGGAGGAAATGGGGATTTTACAGTATCCTTCCCCTGCCACACCCACCAAGACACACCCACCAAGACACACCCACAGAACCGGTGGTAAAAAAATTTGAAACCCACCACTGAAACAAAGCATTTAAATGATCTGGTAACCTGATCATCATCCTGCCATTTAATTAAAGATAGAGTACCCAAAATTAACTCCTTCTGCCCTGCTGTTTTACATCAATTTCCCCGCCTCCTAATGTCTGTGTACATTCTCCGTCAAATATGCACACAAACACCTTCTTACCTGCCCCTTAAATGCATCAATTATAAACTGCAAGGATTGTGGCTGCACACATTCAATGCATTTTTGCACAACATGATTTCCATTCTGGTCTTTTACACATTTCAAGACGTGGCCATCCAGTTCTCGGACCATCTCGTTCTATGGAAGAAGGGACAGAGAAACAAAGAGAAAGCACCACCAGAACCACAGACAACAAGTACTGTTAAACAACCAGGCCTTAAGAATCAGCTAAGATGATCCTTCATCCTAAACTCCCAAGCACTGATCCAGCAAGATACTCATGGATCTTGGGCAAAATGAAGCTGCCTTCTCCCATCTCCTGTTTCTGATCACCAGGAACTGAATCACAACAAATTAAAATCCAACATGGTTTTGGAAATGACATGATATTGCTCTGGTCAGCCAAGTGTTTGGTTCATAAATATTTCAAAATTTCAAGCTCAAAACGGGATGGTTTCAAACTCTTCTGGAATGGTCAGAAGTGCATCCAAACTCCAGTCTTGAGCTTGGAACAGAGTGTTTCAAAATTCAGGGTGTTTTTTGAGTTCAAAACATTTTGCAGAGGCCTATTATTTGATCTTTTTTTTTTAAAAAAAAGAAAAGAACCATCTGCGCTTGCCGATCGCAAGAGTAGATTTTGCTGAATGGGGTTGTGGGCACGTGGGCCTCAAAAGACGAATGTCCCAACTGCAGCTCCTCCTAGCTAGCAATCACCATTCCTCCCCCCACCCCCCAAGTAAAAGGCAGAACAAAGACTGCAAAGGACCTTTTATTGTTTTCTTCACGACCTTTATGGCAAACATGATCTGGGGAAGCATACACACAAGCATCCCCTTGCCCACCAACACCTAGTCTTGCGCTCCCCAAAAGTCTTTCGCTATTTGCACACGTACACAGGTTACAGAATAGATCACAATCACAAACCACTAAAAGGAGAAAAGAAAATCACAAAGACAAAGCTTAATTGAAAAAGAAAGGAAACACTGACATGTAACATCAAGAGATAAAATTAAAATGGGAAACTTACAATTACCTGCTGGTCTGGGGGAATAAACTCAAGAGCCTTTTGTATAACTCGGCAGCCGTACATCTGCAAAGCCAGGGAAAGGACATGGCCACGGATACGTTCTGCTAAGGCCAGCTTCTGTTCTAGGCTGCCAAACTAAAAGCAATGACAAAGAGTTACAAGACATATGTCAGAGTTTATTAAAACACATCAGAGCAGGTTAAAAAGATAAAGGTTCCCCTCCCACATATGTGCAAGTCGTTCCCGACTCTAGGGGGCAGTGCTCATCTCCGTTTCAAAGTCGAAGAGCCAGCACTGTCCAAAGACGTCTCCGTGGTCATGTGACCAGCATTACTAAATGCCAAAGGCGCACGGAATGCTGTTATCTTCCCACCAAAGGTGGTTCCTATTTTTCTACTTGCATTTTTTACCTGCTTTCGAACTGCTAGATTGGCGGAAGCTGGGACAAGGAACAGGAGCTCACCCTGTTACATGGCACTAGGGATTCGAACCGCTGAACTGCCGACCTTTCAATCGACAAGCTCCGCTTCTTAGCCACTGAGCCACTGCCTCCCTTCTCAGAGCAGGTTAAAACCCAGAGCAGGTTAATTAATAGTGTTTCTAAATGGCCAAAATTTTGCAAAGACTGCCACAGGAAGTTTCTGCATTCCCACATGAGATTTCACAAAGTGACATCATCATGACTGCATGAGATTAGGGGTGGGAAGGAAACAGTGATGTTCACCTGAAAAGTTTGCCAGCTCCTGAATCATTCCGCTTAATTTGCGGCTCAGCCAAATGGAAACAATACCTTCTCTGAAAATAGCACTGTAAACAGAACTCACCTCAAAAAATTTCTGGATTACATAATTTCCAAATACATCAACCATCAGCTGATAGGCTGCCTGTAGGATTTCATTGAAGACAAGCTGTCTTTCAGCTGGGGTGGCACGTTCCAGTTTAAGCTGGATAAACCTGGAGAGGGTACAATTAAACAAGGAATTTGCATGGCTGATGTTGTTGTATTTTTTTTGAAACTTGAAATTATGGAAGTAAGATAACTGCCTAGCCTGACATAAACCAAATAAAATAACAGGACTGAGATTTTTCTACTAGATTAATTTACCCATTACCCTCCAGCCAGCAATTCCCTATTGATTTTAACTCAAAATAAGCATAAATCCAATGATACCAATTACTGCCAGCATGCTGAAGCATATAAACCTTTTTATATAAAAATAACCCTTCCTGTCTTTGCCTCAGGACAGCTCCTTGAACAAGAGCTTTTAGAAACAAGTTGCTCCTAGAATTGGAGGGCTTTCCTTTATGGCAGAGGTCTTCAAACTTGGCAGCTTTAAAACTTGTGGACTTCAACTCCCAGAATTCTCCAGCCAGCATAGCCAAGTTTGAAGACCTCTGCCAATGCTGGCTGGAGAATTCTGGGAGTTGAAGTCCACAAGTCTTAAAGCTGCCAAGTTTGAAGACCTCTGCTCTATGAAAATGAGCTAAAAACTCTTGTGAAGATTTTAAAGTTGCTTTAAGAATTTCATTTTTTTGGCAATCTTTCGGACAATTTTATGCAGTTTCTACTGCCAGTCCATTCTACTGTCCTATTCCTTAAAGAAACAATTTCTAAACATTGATAGGAATGGACTGTCTCAGCCATATGCCAATCTTGAAGGCCTTCAATGATCTCCCCAGGTCTTCAAAATCCAAACTGTATTTTTAACGTGAAAAGAGGATGAAACATGCAATTGTATCAGCCACATTTTAGCCAGCTGGGGTGTCCTTGGGTCAGTTTTTTTAGCCCTAGGAAGAACGCAATGGCAAACCACTTCTGGAAAAAAATTGCCAAGAATAGTATGGATTTGTCGATGTAGTTGCCAGGAATGAAGACTGACTCAAAGAGACCAAAACAAAAACCTCCCCAATAGGAATATAGGCTAATCTGATTGTCAGCGTTCCAATAATGCACCCATAGAAAGCAGAATTCTGAGGCAGTAGATTCCTCAAAGAACAATTTATTGGATACATCATATTGGCACAACTGGTGGAAAACTGACTCTGAAAGTTCCCGCGGTTTTTACCTAATTAAAAATTGAAAGTTTCCCCTTCCCCCCAAGTCATTGTCTAATAGAGGTGCTGGCCGGCTGCTTGGTTACTCCATTCCTCCTCTCCCCATCCATCTGTTGGGATGTCCTTGGTTCCCACAGGAAAACCTTTTGTTTTGACTACAAACCCCAACTACCTATTTTCCCCCTTCTCCTGCCTTGTGGCAACCCTCAGATGGCCTCAGCCAGGTTCGATTCAGGGTTGACACCGATTTTGCAGGGCTCCATCATGTCCTGCAGAATGCTACTCAAACACTATGCTTGGCCCGGGAAAAAAAAAAACAAAATCCCCGCACTCTTTTTCTATAAAAGTTCTCCTCTGCTCGTTCTCCCCACTCGCCTTGATCCATGTTGATCCTGGGAAAATTCCATAATGTGACCAGCAATCTCTCTCAACTGCAGGTTTGGGTACCGGTTATTACGGAAGTCTTCGAGCAGCCTGCTGCGGCCGGAGGGCATGACATCGGACATCCCATAGCGCAAACGCGAGGACGGGAAGAGGGTGCTGCTGGGACTGAAGAGACTGGAAGCGCTGCTTGCACTCCGGTACTTGGCTTCAGCTCCAGGGGCAGCAGAGATGTAACGGCCACTTCCATTTGTGAGACCGCCTGCAAGGATTTTTTTTTTAAAATTAAGGTAGTTTACGTGGCTAATAAGAATGCTTCAAGCTGAAAACACATGGAGTCATTTTCCCCAGGCTGGAACTGAAGTGGGACAGACTTTTAACTAAAAAAAAAATTTGCATGTGATCATTCAGTGGTTGATTTTAGCCATGAAGGCAAGCTGTGGTTTCTATATCCTTTGAACCTTCGTCCCTTTCTTTACCGGCACTACAGAGATGATTAGTTAGTTTCTATCATCATCGACGTCTTTTAACGACCCCATAATCCCTTGTGGGGTGGAGTCTGAGCAATTGAATGGAGCTAGCAGAATGTTTTAATAGCGGGATGCCCTTCCTGGCGCCAATGCAGAGTTTTGTTCAGCAGATATATTCTCAGTGTGCCCAAAGAAAGAAATATCTGCCTCTACGTAGGATCGAACTCACAGCCTCCTGATTGTGAGGCGATTTCTATATCCGGCTTTAAAAGTCTCCAATGAAGGAGGGCTAAAATGAGCCAGCCCTCTCCCCACAAGAAAGCACCACCAGAGAAAACCAAGCTCCTACCACACCTTTGCTGCCATAAAATGAGCTTTACACAAGTAATTTTAGCAGATGAGTAGTTTTTATTTTCTCAGAAAAACCATAATCAGGACCTATCACTTAGCAACAGCGTAACTTTGCTGCTTAAAAAAAAAAGCTGCTAGAGTTTTAAGCTTAATAGTATGCAAACACATAAATTCTACTTCGACTGCCACTGGTGATACTTCTTTATTGGAACACCTTACGTATTATCCTATTCTTCTCCATCTTTCTATTTGCTAGCATATGGCCTTGGAAAAGCATTCTGTGCAGATTCCCTAGAAGATGTGCCTCGATCAATATACCCAGCCACAATCTGGGTATGAAATTACGTTATCTATAACCTACAGGTGTGCAACCCTATCAAAAGCCTGGATCCAGCACACTTTTGGATATACAGCCATTCTGTTTCCTGGGATGCCATCATCTTTCAGACCAAGAAAAAAGGCTGGGGTCAAAAGCCAGTAAGGAAAAAAGCTCCTGGCTAACAAGACTAAAAGGATAACAATTTAAGGACCTTGCATTCACAAAAGGAATATTGCCTAATATCGGGATTCTGCTGGTAATTCTGGCTGAGACAAACAAAAAGCAGCTTTATAAGGATTACAGCTCCTTTTTAAGATAGAAGTCTTCTGAACTTCTTTAACTGGGCAAAGCAGGGTTTCAAATCATGCTAGGCCCACAAAACAGTTTTGCAGAGCAGGGGTTTCAAGAAGGAAGGTTCCTAGCCAGTTCAGATTTAGGACTTTTGAGGCCCTGCCACATCTGCAGGAATATCTAACCAAGCAATATAAGTCATTTAGCATGTAACAGTAGATAAATGGTATCCTTCCAATATTTTGAATTAGCTGTCCTATGCTGTCAGTCAAACCATCTGGAGGACAGCAAGCTTCCTGCAAGCAGTGGGCCAGATGGGAAACAACGAGCAGCTGCAGCTTCAACCAAGATGCCAATTTAACCTGTGAGAACAGTGGTGTCCTTACCAAGGTTTAAGCTTGAAGAGGAGCCATGAGAAGACAAAGATGGTGGGGGAGTCTGAGAATGGCCAGGTCCTTGACTAGGCAAAGGCATGCCTACCGGACCCGGTGAAGAGGAAAATCCAAGGCCATTATAAAAGCTATGTCCTATAGGAGTCAAATTGCTGGATGTCCTCTTGTAGAGATCAGTGCTGCCTGTGAGGGAATCTCTGCGAGAACCGCTGCCTGTGTTGGAATTGGCAACTGAAAGAGAAAGGAAAGGAGGTGAGGAGTGAAAGGTTTCATCAGTTAAGGAAAGGAGGATCCTGAGAAGGAGGAATACCACTGGGTCTAGTTATCAAAGCAAAACTGAAAGATTGAGAATTATCTCCAAAGGCTACTAGAATTCTTTCTAATTAACAGAAACAGGCATGCCAAGGTGGTGTCCAAACTTCAGCATTATCCATATTAAATAATTTTTAAAAATATATTTTTTTAATCTAAAAAACTCTGAAATCAAAATTTTGCAAAATCTTGTTGGAATGACAGCATCCTGTTTTACACATCATTTTAATTTTCTCACCTGAGGGATCAAATTACTGAAAAGGATACGGCATTTCTCTGAGATTTTCATTTTCCCTGAGAAATACTTTCTGCCTTTCTCAGCAATTTAGACAACTGAGTGAGATATGGCACTGAGATTCAGAGTGCGTAACAAAATTTACTGGGAAACCTTGGGTTGGTCACAATTTTAATATAATACTTTAGAAGTGTTTAAATAGAATAGGGAAGACCACAAAAAAAAAAAAAAAAGCTAGGCATATGCAAACAAATAAACATAGCAATAAATAGTGCCGTCGGCCAAACAATGTCGACTGGCGGCCCCCAGGGGGAGAGCCTTCTCTGTGGGGGCACCTACTATCTGGAACGAGCTCCCCCCGAGATACGGAGGATTCCGGATCTGCGTACCTTCCGTCGCACGCTTAAGACGTTCCTATTCCAGCAAGCCGGCCTGACCTAAACTTCTCCTCTTTTAAATGGGAATTTTAAATTTGGTTTTAAATTATTGGGGTTTTAAATATGGTTCAGCCAAATTTATTTAACTTGTTTTATTTCTATTTTAAATTTTGTATTTATATGTTTTATTCATGGCTGTTCACCGCCCTGAGTCCTTCGGGAGTAGGGCGGTATACAAATTTAATAAAATGAAATGAAAAAAATGAAATGAAATATTCCTTCATATATAGTTATCAATGAACTGAAATATGGGCTGTGTTAACACATCCATTAAGTCATATTTATTTGTCATATTTAACAACCACCAACCTCGCTCACTAGGGATTTATGTGGTTGGTTTGATAGGGTTGTGTTGTGTGAACTCAATTCTTGAGATACCTGAGAAAACTGTGGCTTTAGTACAATGTGTAAGCCAGGGTCATGCCCTAAAGCAGCGGCCTCCAATCTTTTGGACACCAGGGACTGGTTCCATGGAGAGAAGTTTTTCTCGTGGACCAGAGGGGGTGTGGTTTTGCATGCTGCCTGTAGATGGGGCTTCGCTTGTTTGTGCGGCTCGGTTTCTGGCATGCCGCAGCCTGGTACTGGTCCCTGGATCAAGGGTTGGGGACCTCTGTCCCATTAGAATAACAGAGTTAGAAGGGACTTTGGAGGTCTTCTAGTCCAACCCCCTGCTTAAGCAGGAAATCCTATACCTGTGATAGCGAACCTATGGAACGCGTGCCCGAGATGGAAGAAGAGCCATCTTTCCAGGCACACGAGCTGCCGCCCAACTCACCTGCAGCTGTGCATGTGCGCAATTCAGGGAACCCAGCTGGTCTTCGAAGCTCTCCTGCACATGAGTGCACATTTGCGCATGCGTGCGACGGTACTTGCGTGCAGCACGTGTATGCAGATAGCATTCGTACACATGCATTTCATGTGCAAAAACTGCACGCACGCGCAAATGGTGCAATTGCACACGTAGCGCATGGGGGAGCGTGCAAAAGCCGCACACATGTGCAGATGGTGCAGTTGCACATGCAGCACATGTGGGAGGGGCCACACGTTAGCACGGATAGCACGCGTGCACCCAAAGCGCGTTTGGCACTCAGTGAGTAAAAGGTTCGCCACCACTGCCCTATAACACTTCAGACAAATGGTTATCCAATCTCTTCTTAAATACTTCCAGTGTTGGAGCATTCGCAACTTCTGGAGGCCAGTTGTTCCACGGATTAATTGTTCTACCTGTCAAACTACCATACCCTAAAGCCATGATGGCAAACCTGTGGCACGCGTAGCCATGTCTGTGGGCACCCAAGCATTGCACTAGTTCAGCTCCAGCGCGCATGCGTGCACTAGCCAACTGATTTTCGGGCCTTCCGGGCCCACCACAAGTCAGGAAACGGGCTGTTTCCGGCCTCTGGAGGGCCTCCAAGGGGGTGGGGAAGGCTGTTTTCGCCCTCCCCAGGCTCCTAGAAAACCTCTGGAGCCTGGGGAGGGCAAAAAAAAAATGGGCCTACCGAGCCATCACGTGCCAAAAGCAGGGGGACCACAGGGGGTTGTGCGTGCATGCACGGGGGGCGGGGCACATTGAATTATGGGTGTGGACGCGCATGTGCGCGACCTCCCCACCCTCACCCCGCTTTTGGCACGCAACAGCAAAAAGGTTAGCCATCACTGCCCTAAAGGATCTTTGCTGGATCTATTCAGAACTGGGAGTTTTATTCAGAACTGACCTACATCAACTTCCTTATTCCCTCCTACAGTGGCAAGACATCAATGCCCATTGTTCCTTCACTTCGGGAGAGCTGCTGCTCCCTACCTGCTGTTCCGAAGCCTCCCAGCGCAGACCCCAGGGTAGCACCAAGGGAACTGCTGCTCCCAAAGCCGAGGGAAGTGTTGGCAGGTTGGGCAGAGCCCTGAGAAAAGAGCGAGCTGCTCTGCGAATTGCTAGTTAGGGAATTGTTGCCGTAAAAGGAGCTGGAGGCCAAGTTGCTGGTGGGCTGTTGCTGCGGCTGAGGCTGTTGAGTCCCGAGAGGTCGAAATGGTCCACTGGTCGTTCCTGCGAGGCCACCAGCAGCACCGTTTGCTGAAGCTGCAGCAGCTGCAACCGCTATCAAAGAGAAAGAAAGGAGGGGTCAAGTCAAAGAATGGGAAACCTCACACAGCTTGAATCAATACAGCATTTAATTTGCAGAATGCTATCTAACCAAATTCATTTCCAGGAAAGGCCATCGCTATCATTTTTATGTAGCATTTGGACCAGTAATTCTTAAACTGTTGGGAGAACAGGATTAGTGTATCACCCTGGCAAATCAAATTAAACTATGGCAAGTTGCCATGATATCAAAGCAGCTTTCCACATAACAGTCCCTGCCCTCCTCTCTTTTCTATTGAGTTTGTAAATAGAAAAGCACTTTTGCTGCTGGGGCACTTAAATTTAAGGTGATTTAAGGTTCCCCTCGCACATATGAGCTAGTCGTTCCCGACTCTAGGGGGTGGTGCTCATCTCCATTTCAAAGCCGAAGAGCCAGCGCTGTCCAAAGACGTCTTCGTGGTCATGTGGCCGGCATGACTAAATGCCAAAGGCGCATGGAACGCTCTTACCATCCCACCAAAGGTGGTCTCTATTTTTCTACTTGCATTTTTTTACGTGCTTTCGAACTGATAGGTTGGCAGAAGCTGGGACAAGTAACGGGAGCTCACTCCATTATGCGGCATTAGGGATTCGAACCGCTGAACTGCCGACCTTTCGATCGACAAGCTCAGCATCTTCGCCACTGAGCCACCGTGTCCCTTACTTTAGAATTTACTTACATGGAAACTAGGAATTGTGCTTTAAACAAACTCTAGCTGGCTAAAACAAAGCATAAAACAGTTCCCTGGTTGATATATAATATTAAGCCACAGTAGGAAAGATTAACATAACGTGATTTGCAAACCTGCCTTCCCTCGTTATCTTAGCGTTCTGTACAAATCTAGCCACGATTGTGTGTTCAAGAAACACTCAATTTTTTTCAATTAAAAAAATCCTAGCTAAGTATGTATGAATACAGCCAATTCAAGCTTGGAAGACGGCACATTCAGCACTTAAACTAGAATTCCTGCTTTATGTGTTACAACCTAAGATTCATGTACACTGAAACTAAATGCTGGTTCGGTGTGCACGAGAGAATTAGCAGCGAAGGATGCCTGGGCCCAGTTCGCTACATGGGGATGGCACCTTTTTGCTCACAAATAGGCTAGGCAGGACTTCTTTTCCGTATTGAAAAATATATTTCATGTTTTCTCTGGATTTGAAGTCGTATACAACCATTGATGTTCCCTCTGGATTTTGATACCCATTGTAGCTACCGTGTTTCCCTGAAAATAAGACCGTCTTTTTTTTCCCCTCCAAAAGAGGCATTAGGTCTTATTTTAGGGGGATGTCTTCCACTGTCTCACCTCGAAGAGGAGGCGGCAACGACAGCCCCACCCAGCAAGAGCCCATGTGGCTTCAGGAAAGGCCTCTGACAGTGAAATGGAGGCCGAGGGGCACCACGCGCGTCAATCCGGAGCTTGTTCCTACGCTGCAGAGGCCTTTTCTGAAGGCCTCTTAATGGTGAAACGGAGGCCGGGGGCAATGCACGCAAGCAACGGCAAGTGGGCACAGAAGAAGTGGGACGGCAAGGCGAGGCAGGTGTCGGGGCATAGGAGGCCTGGCTGCAACTGTCCTAAGGTAAGAAGGGCAGCTCCACCCCCACCCATCCCCGTCCCCGCCCTAGCTTGATTTTTACCCGTGCGCCTCGCCTCACTTCGTGCAACCAGGTGCAAAGGAGTGGGTGGGGCTTATATCGGACCCACATGTAAAAATCAAGCTAGGTCTTATTTTTGGGATAGGTCTTATTTTCAAGGAAACACAGTAACAGTTTCATAAAGCTGCTAAAAATTACTATGCATCCAATCGCTGTGCTCCCACAGAGAGTATCTAAGCAAGACTTGCCTGCTTGTGCAGCTGAGGAACTGATGATGACAGGAGCAGGAGCTACCAGCCGTACCGGAGCTCCAAGGCCATTCCTTGCCCCTGTATTCACCACAAGAGCACCTGTTTGGTCATAATAGGCAGCAGGAGCCAGGACTGGATAACCTACGAAGACAGATGAGACCGTTATAAGGAGTCAACTTTACAATGCTGTTTTTTGGGTTGCCCCGCTCTGAACCCCTCTGGTCTTCTGGAAATCCTAAGCTCCTACCTGGCATTCCTGCTGCCAGCCCCTGTCCGAAAGCAAGAGCTGAATTCACTGCTGCTGCAGCCACTAAAGGATCCGTCTGCTGGCCCTGTTGGTTCTGATTTGGGGTCAAAGGGCGCTGGCTGGCTCCTCCCCGGAGAACCTTGGAGAAAAAGCAAATAGGTATCAGGTATCAGCACCATCACATGGAGTTTCCTTTATGGAGCATTTGTAGCCCGAAATGATACCATTGATAGGTATACGAGGATTTTCATGGCTGAGTATAATTAACTGAATTTAATACTCGTCATTATCCATAATTAGTCTTAATGGATTGCTGCAAGAAATACAAGGAATACATATAAATTCATGGGTACCACAATGAGATTCTGTCCCATTTTATTTCAGTCTTACTAATAGTGAGCCATTATGACAACAATTTGTAACTTTTTTATATATATAGGAACTTATAAAAATACATACTTAAGTAAATTATTTGGAGAACAACTGTCAATAATATATCCATGTACACTGGGCAGAAAAGAAATGGTAAACTCTTAATGTAAAAGCAATGCATTGTTTAAGAAGGTCCAGCTCAGCTTCTCTGAGTCCATAACAAGATTCTCATTACTGAACAATGTTCTCAGTGAGGGCAAGAGTGTCATCACTGCCAGACCTTTTGAGTTCAATGACTTGGAAAAATAAATTAAACTGTGTTTCCTTATCCTCAAGTGGTGGAAACCACACTAACAAATGATTATTCTGTTGCAATCAAATATATTATACTCTTCTGCCAATCCCTGTGCCAAAATCTAGACAGATAATCTATTTTGAGGATAGATATGCATATCTTTATCCAGGATATGAGATCTGATTGATAGAATATACTAAACCATCCATCATGATTAACAAACCCCAACAGGGGAGTTCCTACAATACACTACATCAAAACCACATTATGGCTTAATGTGATACTGGAATCTGATTAAGAACTGCCTGTAAATGAGAACTTTTGCAAATGTTTGCGGCCACATTTCCATCGCTCTTCTCTGCCTCCCCTCCTCTTGTGCACACACCAATGAGATTCTTTCTCATAATCAAAGACCAACACGCAAATGCCATTGATTAGTTTCGGCCTTGGAACTACTTATTAAACCGTCTGCTACCACTGCAAACTTGGCTCCAATAGGAGACTGCTCAGCGGGAAACTTAGAAAGAGATCACCACCAGTGGTGGTGAAATTCAGCCAGATCTATCCGGATTGCGCGATCCGGTAGCGGCGGCAGCGGGAGGCTCCGCCCACCCGCCTGGACGTCATCACGTCCCTTTTTTACCCTCTGTGCATGCGTGGAGGAGACACACGTGAGCTGACACTTGCGAGCCTATAGGGAAAGGTAAGTGAATTTCACCCCTGATCACCACCAACCAGATCATACCTACCTATTATAAGAGGGAATGTGCTGTCTCTGAGGCAATGCCTCTTACCTGCTGTTGCCCTTGTTGGGTCTGCTGAGAGGTCTGTTGATTGGAGGAGTTTGTGGCAGCGGCGGCGGCAGCTTGTTGCTGGAAAAGACTGGCGGGATATACTCCCCAGGGAGCTACTCCATAATATTGATGGGGGACAACGGCAGGCCCTAAAACAGCGACAAAGGACTGGCTTTATCTTTTACTAGTAGCATCACAGGGGATTTGTAGTTCAAAATAATCTGCCATTAACTGAACAAGAGAAACGAAGAGCTACATAGCTTAAGAGGAACCCCATCTGGCCCAAGGGGAGGGGGGGATGAAGGAGGGATCCCTGCCACATGCCCAATTTACTAAATTTTTTCTGTTTTAGGCAAAAATAGTCCTTGATTTACAACAGTTCGTTCAGCGGACCATTCAACGTTACAACGGCACTGGAAAAAAGTGACTCGTGACCTTTTCTCCCACTTTTGACCATATTTCATGGGTTACGTGATAAAAAAATTCAGACGCTTGACAACTGACTTGTATTTACGACGGTTGCAGTGTGTCCTGGGCTCGGGCGATCATCTCTTGTGACCTTCTGGCAAGCAAAGCCAATGGGGAAGCCAGATTCAGTGAACAACCTTTGTCACTAACAACTGCGGCGATTCACTTAACAACCGTGGCAAGAAAGGCCGTAAAATGGAACCCCCAAAAAAATCGCTTAGCGAATGTCTCCCTTAGCGACAGAAATGTTGGCCTCAATTGTGGTCGTTAAGTCATGGACTACCTGTAATTGTACCTTATCACCCCAGAACAGGGGTCTGCAACCTTAAACACTCAAAAGAGCCATTTCGCACAGAAAAGAAAACACCAGGAGCCACAAAAACCTTCCCATGCGTGACTATTTCTTGAACGGCCACAAAACTAGCATTAAATGTTCCGTTTTCTTCTGAAACTTTTCTTTTCTTGGATTTATCCATGGTTGGCCTATCGGGGGTTGAAAAGCTCAATAAATGGCATGCCGGTGGGTGTCGCACATTGGCGGTTGTGAAGCATATTTTGAGTGACAGAGAGCCACAGCAGACGGGTGAAAGAGCCACATGCGGCTCCAGAGCTGCAGGTTGCTGACCCCTGACCCAAAACAAGTACTTGCTTATTTATTGGCAGATATATTTCACTTGAGATGCTTATACTTTCAAGCCCAGAATCAGGAATACAAACCAAGTGCTCTAACTTCTCATGGGTCTGGACAAGCTAAACAACGTACTTGGATCAAGTTTTGTTTCCCTGCTGTTCTCCTTCCCCACCCTCTACAACCTGCTGTTCTGAAATCCAATGCAGGGAAAGTCTCTGGAGACTCTCAGTCATCCACGCCATGGTTGTCCCGAAGGTGCTTTTTCAAGAGGCAACTGAATTTTCTGTTTTGTTTTTGTTTTTCTCTGAGAACTGAAGAAGCTTCTTGGATGAGAAGCGAAACGGCTTGGAAGAAAAACAGTGCAAAGGGAAGGCAGCAAGCTGGGAAAGATACTGTGACCCAAGATACACAGCTGCTTCTGTGAGGCATAAGGAAAATGGTCCCTTGGAGCCTCAAGTATTTGGGGGGGCGGGGGAAAGGGGAGGGCTTCTGTCCCAGAGTGAAGAGCATTTTGAAGCAACTCACCTAAAGTCGCAGCTGCTGCAAGTCCTGCTGCGTAGGGATCCGTTCCTGGTGGAGCAGCGCTGATGATGTAAGGGTTGGGCACAAAGGCAGCAGGGGCTAAACCTGCTGAAAACATACCTGTCAGTGAAAACAAACCCCACTGAACAATTTCCGCAGGGTCTGTGTGTGTGTGTGTGTGTGTGTGTGTGTGTGTGTGTGTGTGTGTCTGTGCACATGAGAGCAACCTATCTCTGATCAAACAGAGCAAAGGGTTCAAGGCGTTAAGACAAGACTCTTAAAATCTACAGAGATCTTCCGTTAAGAAATCTACTGCTCGCTTTGATTTAGTATATAACAGCTTAAACTTTAAATTGTGGGGGTTTTTTATCCATGTTTTAAATAATTACATAGGGCATTTTATCCACGTTTGATTTTGGGAACAGCTCTATCACACACACACACACACACACACACACACACACACACACACACACACACGTAAGACATATATTCTTCTGTTTGCCTTCAGTCTTATTTAAATGACTGGCAGTTCTTGTGCAAACATTATGCGAGGCTATTTCAGGAGGAAAAGGAGGCAGGAGAATGTGTTTCTCGGTTAAATCTCTTAAGTAACTTAATTCCTGTCTGGCTCAGAGGCAATGAGTCCTTCCAATAAAAGTTCTCATTATAGACTCTCAGTCTCAGTGAGGGCAAGAGCATCATCACTGCCAGACACAATAAAGATAAAGGATATAAAAATCCTCTGAAAATCACATAATCATTTCTGTTTTATCCTCGCAGTCTTTTTTTTAATCCTCGCATCCCTAGAGTTACTTAACAAAGGGATGAATGGAGGAGAGAAGGCGATCAGATTTTCACCCATTCAAGACCTGAAGGCTTACCTATGTGAGGCTGATGGGCAGCTGCTAATGCGTATTGCTGTTGTTGGGCTGCTGTCAGTTGCTGGACAGCGAGTGCATTCGGTCTTTGGAACAGCTGAGAAATAAGCAATTAAAAAAAAAAAAGACATTAATTTTACAACTTATACTCCGATGCTCTTAATACCAGAAGGTCATTGAACCTAGAACTTTCTGCCCATAATACTACTGTGTTTCCCCGAAAATACGACTTACTTAGAAAATAAGTCCTAGCTTGATTTTTACACGTGCGCCCAATATAAGCCCTACCCCAAAAAATAAACACTAATTAAGACCCCGCCCACTCCAGGGTAGGGTGCACAGGTAAAAATTAAGCTTAGATGGGGATGGGGTGGTAGAGCTGCTCTACTACTTACCTTCGGATAGTTGCAGCCAGGCCTTGCACACCTCGGCCCATTTCTTTTGGTGCAGCCAGCAAGGCTTTCCTGGAGGCCTCTGTAGCCGATAACAGAGCTCAGATCGATCCGGAGCTCTGTTATAGGCTACAGACCCCTTCAAGAAAGCCTTGCCAGATGAAGAAGTTCCTGAAAGCTTCTGATAGCAAAAAAGAGGCTGGGGGCAACACACGCAAGTGAGGTGAGTCAGTGGACAACATCCCCCCTAAAAAGTAAGACCTGGTGCCTTTTTGGTGGCAAAATAAAAAAATAAGACCGGGTCTTATTTTCAGGGAAACACGGTATCCCTCTGATAGATAAAGGTAGTCTTTGTTTAGTGATTGCCTCGTACAGCAACTATTCGCAGTGATGAAAATGTAACTCTGCGACCAATCCTCACATTTGACTTTTGCAGGTCTATAAAGCAAAGGATAGTTGAAGATAATAAGCACAGCTACAATTTTGCTTAGTGACAATTTCGCTTAACAACTAGGCCACTGGTCCCAATTGTGGTTACTAAATGAGACCTGCCTGTCTTTTATAATAAGGAGGGATAACCTGGGACCCTGCAGATTCTGTTAAATGGCAATTCTTTCGATGCCTAAAACTTGTCATTCTGGTTAAGGTTAATGGAAGCTCCCTTTTTACTCCCTCGTTTTACTCTCTTTTTAGCCATCTTCTTCTTTTTCCAATTTCAAACTAACTACTGTGTGGGTGATAACTCAGTTCGCTGTTAGCAAACATTAAAGATAAAGGTAAAGATTCCCCTTGCACATATGTGCTAGTCGTTCCTGACTCTAGGGGGCAGTGCTCATCTTCATTTCAAAGCCGAAGAGCCAGCGCTGTCCAAAGAAGTCTCCATGGTCATGTGGCCGGCATGACTAAACACCAAAGGCACACAGAACGCTGTTACCTTCCCATCAAAGGTGATCCCTATTTTTCTACTTGCATTTTTTATGTGCTTTCGAACTGCTAGGTTGGCAGAAGTAGTAAGCATTAGGATGCATTTATTTGTCAAAATTTCTCTAAAAGGTACTTGCATTTATTGCCACAATAATGCTGCACATCACATAGGGCCAGAACAGACTCACTGTAACAGCAGAATGACACAATCGGCTGTAGAGAAAGCTGCGGCCACGCGGGTGGTTATGGGCGCAACCCGTTGTGCCCGTGTGACACCCCTCCTGCGCGAGTTGCACTGGCTCCCAGTGGTCTTCCGGGTGCGATTCAAGTTGTTGGTCACCATTTTTAAAGCGCTCCATGGCATAGGACCCGGGTACCTTCGAGACCGACTGCTGCCACAATCAGCCTCCCACCGGCCAGTTCGCTCCCACAGAGAGGGTCTCCTCAGGGTGCCATCGGCCAAGTTATGTCGGCTGGCGACACCCAGGGGGAGGGCCTTCTCTGTGGGAGCCCCTGCCCTGTGGAATGAACTGCCCCCGGAAATGCGCAAGATCTCTGACCTCCGTGTATTTCGCTGTGCCCGCAAGACCCTGCTGTTCCGCCAAGCCGGGCTATCAATTTAATGATTTTTAAATTGGGTTTTAAATTTTTGGGGTTTTAAATTTCAGCTGAATTATGTAATAATTTTAATTATTTTTAACTGATGTTTGTCTTTGTGTTTTTTAATAGGCTGTACACCGCCCTGAGTCCTTCGGGAGAAGGGCGGTATAGAAATAAATTTATTTATTTATTTATTTATTTATTTATTTATTTATTTATTTATTTATTTATTTATTTATTTATTTATTTATTTATTATAAAGTAAGTATTCACTAAGGTTATTTTTTTTGGCTATAAAACAGTGTTGACGCCCATTTCTTAAATTAATTCCATGCCCCAAATGCTTATAACCTATATATTATTTCCACCCCCTCTCTCTTCCTCTCTCCCTCCCTCTCTCTGTTTTATATGATAGATATTTCATATCTCATCTTTATAGCAGCAGACAGGCTTGAAATGCAGGTGTCCAGAGTAGAAGAAAAACGTATGGAAGAAAAAAGGTTAGGGAAACCCAACTGTTTAATCCACATCCAAAAAAAAAAAAAAAATCATAGTCATGAGTACACCGAGCTATTTCCACTAAATGGGGATTGTGTGTATATGTGCAAATCCACTGAAGTAAGGTGGGGAGGTTGAAAAAGGCATCTGGGTCGATAAATGTAGTAGTACTACCTACCTGTTGTTGTGAGTTGTAATCAAATAAGCCCACAGTTGCCGCAGCAGAATCCACAGGTACTTGGGTGCCAGAGTAATCAAACTGAAGTGGCTCCATGCCAACATGCTCCATGGGATCCAGAGGAACACTCTGGGACTCCATGTTAGAGAAATCCTCCACGGGCTTGGCACCATTAGTATTAGCTAACTGGGCTAAGCTCTCTGATCCATTCTGGTTTGGCCCTAAAAGATCCACATCATTGGCAGAGTTCTGACAGTTTCCTGGTGTTCTGCTGAAAAAGAAAGGGAAAGGGGTGTTTTCAGTTTGGTCCTACATATTTCCTTATACACTTAATTAGAGCTCCATAAGAACATGCGCACTTATGTGTTTCAACGCTCTGTCTTTAAGCTCTGTTATCCTTTGAAATGGCTTCTCTTCTTTCGTATTACAAATGTCTTTAACTCAGATGTGATACCATATTGGAATTCTCTCCCAGGATAATTTTATTAGTAACAATAAAACCTGAAGGCAATGTAATAAGGTCTTTCAAAATTATCTTGCTCAATTAACGATCCAATGATGCAGCCTGCTGCTGTGTGATCTCCCAAGAGAACAAAGGAAAGAACAGCCTAAGAACCATAATTGCCAGGATTCTCAATCCTAGCTTACAAGGGAAAAACCTATCTGGCCCCTTCTACTAAACCAGTGATGGCGAACTTTTTTTCCCTTGGGAGCCAAAAGTGCGCGTGCAACAACGCACACACACGTGCTGACACCCATAATGCAATGCCTCCTGCAGGCCCCACCTCCTGTGCATGGACGCAACCCCCCCACGCATGCGTAAGCAACCCCCATTTTGGTGCTAGCAGGCCTCCCAGAACCAAATGTATGGTATTTTTGTATGGTATTTCATGGTCATGTGGCCAGCACGACTACATGCTGTGGCAGACGGAACGCCATTACTTTCCCACCAAAGTGGTACTTATTTATCTACTCGCATTTGCCTGCTTTCAAAGTGCTAGGTGGGCGGGAAATGGGCCAAGTAACGGGAGCTCGCTCTTGTTGGAACACAGTTCCCGTCTCAAACCTGGGCAGTCAGCTTTCCAGCTGACAAGCTCAGCGTCTTTTACTTGCTGAGCCATTACACCCTCTAGTAATTTTGTAATACAATACAAACTTTCCTCAAACTGGACATATTTGGCTACGTTTCTATGTAACACTGAACTATGTGCATACGTACCCTCTCCTTCTGGAAGAAGGAATTGGGAGAAGCACTCCAGTTCTTTTTCCTGGTTTGCTGTTCATCAATGAAAACAACTTTAAATTAGGATTTTTATTTATTGATCACATTTATATGGCTGCCCATCTCACATGAAACAACTCTGGACAGCTATGTAAACTTCCATTTTCTGATAAAGCCAGCCAAAAAGCCAGGTCTTCTAACCAGTTTGCTTAACAACTGATTAGAATTTATTCTAATCCACAAATTCCTTGTATGATGAGTAACCAGCCAAGAACCGAGCAAATTAGGCTGGAATATGTCTTGGCAGAAGAAAAGAGTACAGAAATCAGAGGTTCCTTTCTCCTCAGAGAATATTAACTATGATTTGTCATGATGAACTGCTGCCCTGCCCAGCGCAAAATCACATATGGAAACTTATGTACCTAAAATCTTTTGCATCCGCATCGATTCCATTTTGCACAGGCAAACCATTAGCCTTGTCCATTACGTCTCCCTCTTCCTTCAAATCACCTAATTTATCGCCATCAAATGTACCCTTATTTTTCTTGTCTCCTTTATCATTGTCATCATTCTCTGCATCCCTTGGCCCCTGGGTAAAGCACAGAGGGTTGTTAAATTCTCCATAAACCGTATTAGAAAATTCAATTGTTAACAATTTGGAAAAAATTCTACGTCAATAATCTGCATAGCATTTAAAAGTTTAACCACCGTTTTAATTCAGTTCTATTTAATTTTACCTTATGTGAACAGAATTATGGGGGGTATTAAGACGATGATCAACTCAAAATTGTTCCAAATCAGGGTGGATAAAATTGATTTAAAAAAAATTATTTTTTTAAAAAAAATTAAATTAAAAAAATTATTTTTTTAAAAAAATTCAATTAAAAAATTATTTTTTTAAAAAAAAAATAAAAAATGGTTTTTTTTAAGTTTAAATCGGATTTTTTAAATTTAAATCGGATTTTTTTAATTGATTTTTTTTAATAAAATGCTTTTGGAGTACAAATCTATCTAAAGATATTTTTCTATTTAAGATACATTAATAATTTAGTTTATTCAGCATGAAATGGGGCTTAGTTACTGGTATATAGCATGAGGCTGTATATTCTGCAATATTTACATTTTTGGTAAACTCATTCAATAAATCCAAGCTCTGCAAGCTAAATAGGAAACCATCATTTGGTTTGCAAATAATATTACAGATTCTAACTACCAGCAATAACGAGTCCTTACGTTTAAAGAGCACCTGTCATTTCAGATCTATCATGGCAGCGCCTGTTAACAGGCATCCACTCACCTGCTGCCTGCTACGTCCCTCACCTTGTTGTATCACTGCCACATCATCAGCAGTCCCACATTAAAGTGAATGGGACTGTCGGTGAGTCAACAGTGGGTCAGAGGAGGAGCCGCTGTGGGACAGAGATGACAGTTGCTTTTTAAAAATTATGATTTAAATCGAGTTGATTTAAATCAAGCCTTTTTACTAGTGATTTAAATCATGTTTTAAATCCACCCTGTTCCAAATACAGTGACACTGGATCAAGTACATCCCAAAAAGATAACTGTGGTTCAGAAATAGAAAGGCCACAGTATTACTTACAAATCCTCCTTTTCTGAGGCAGGAGTCCCCAGGGGATGAACTCAACACATATTCTACCATGCTAACGCCAAGCCCACCACTTTCCGATCGTGGAGACAGCACTGAATTAACTTCATTATTCACGTGAAAACCTTGACCAGGTCTTCTCTGAACCATGATTGGTTGGGAAACAGAATGATCTGCAACAAAAATAACCACAATAGTCACAATTTCTCAAAAGGGAAATTTATTACCAGCAAAATATTTGGGGTCTGCAACGTATGATTATTTCCCACCTTATTCTGCATGCCCCATTATCTACTCATTAATTTTATCAATTTCGGTCCATTTATGAAAAGAATTGAAATTGTGATGGGGATTCTAAATGAAGTGTTGTAAGTGGAGAAAAAAGAATATTATGACAGAAACTGAAATATGTAAATTGTATTTGGAAAAATCAAAAAGAAGATTGGAATAGATTATAAAATATATATAATTATGCTATAAATTGTATAAGATGTGACCCGATCAATACTCTGTTCATAAAATATGTATGTAAAAGGAAATTTTTTTAATAAAACTTGTTTTTTTTTTTAAAAAAATAATAATTTTATCAATTTCACCTTTTTTCTTCTAAAAGTCACTAAGGATAAATGTTCAATTAAAACTACTTACTAAAATTTAGCATGAAACCTAAGGACAGGGAGACATTGTCCTATAGAGTAAAAAGTTGAGAGCAACACTAATATTCATCTATGACAAACATTCCACATCTGTTTCATGTAAAATAATACAGGAAAAGATTTACTGTTTATTTAAAGCAGAGACGGGAAGGAGCTAAACTTTTCCCTCTTGGCAGAGTGTTCCAGAGCCAGGTGCTGCTATCAACAGTACCCATCAACCTTGGCTCTCCATCAATCTTGGCTCTTGAGGGCCTCTAGCATTGATGTTAAATGATCATCAGCCTCAAATAAAAGAACAGGCTGTTTCAGATATCCTAGTCATAAATTATTTAGGGCTTTCATAGTCACAACCAGCACTCTGAATTGTGGCTGAAATAAACTGGAAGCAATATACTGTTCCAAGGTGGTGCAATGTAATCTTTGAAATGCATTCCAGATAAAAATACCATCCCATGTACAAAGGTTTTTTTTCAATCTGCCTTTAAGGAATTTTAGTCTTTTAACAGCGCAAAGAAATTAACGCCATCCCTCGATGGCCACAGTCGGCCCCGACTTCCTTTTCCACTTCCTTAAAAAGTGTACCCAAGATAATTCACTATCCTGTATTATTCCCTTAACCAATAAAATTATACTTAGTTTTACAATAATTGGATGTTATGGACCATTTTAAAATACTTTTAACTAAACCTTCTACAGTATTTTAGGGAAACAAGAGGAAGAGAAGACTAGTTGTAAAAGAGAAATAGCACCGATTGTCCAGAATTATTTACAATCACGGTAATTTCAAAATACCTGATGTCCCCCAAGCGCTGTCTCTCCACTGATCACCCAAAAATATTCCTTTTGGTCCATCTTTGCTTGAATCGTCAGATTCCCAAAATTTTTTCCCTGGCAAAAGCTGCTGTAAAGGAAAAGCAGAAATATTGTTATGTTAAAAAGGACATGGGACATTAGGAGAAAGATAGAAGCTTTAAAATAATAGCTAGTTCTCATCTCTCTGTTGCTCTTCCTCATGTAACTAACACTTAGAGCAGATTTCCTAAGTATGTTAGGACTGCAACTTCTTCCCAGAAAAGTGTGCTTGTTGGGACTTCTGAAGTTGCCCTCTCAACGCAACTGGAGGGTATGGGGGTCAGGTATATCTGCCATTCGGTATTTCAAAGCAAGGTAAAGTGGGGAGGGGGGGGTGTTGGAAGAGTCATCCTAAAATTAGGAAGACCTAATTTTAAACAGAAAAAAAACCATCATTACATGATAAAGAGTTCGCTTAGTGACCGTTCAAAGATACAACGGTACTGGAAAAAGCTACATGACCATCTTTCACATTGATGACCATTGCCACATCCCCGTTGATCACGTGATCAAAATTGAGATGCTTGGCAATTGGCTCACATTGATGACAGTTGCAGTGTCATGTGATCTCCTGCAACCTTCTGCCAAACGAAGTCAATGGGGAAGCCATTGTTGTTTTTACTAATTTAACAACTGCAGGGCTTTGCTTAACAACTGTAGCAAGAAAGGTCTTAAAACTCACTTAACAAATGTCTTAAACAACATACATTTTGGGCTCAACTGTGGGCGTAAATTGAGGACTACCTCTACTATTCCCTTCCTACAAGGAAGGGGGCAGCAATACTCCTTTGGATTACAAAGAGAAGGCAGACACTCTTGAGCAACATGTCCAATAAATCACCAAAATAATTCATTTTGTGGGGCAGGTCTAGGTCAGGGCACAGCAGATCTGGCAAAATCTTTTGCTTCACCTTTTGCAAAAGTTTCGATGACTGATAGGCTTTAATTAGGCAATAATAAAGTAAGGCAGAGCTGGGTGGAACAAAGTTGAAAAGTAGGGGAGAGCGGTGTAATTAGGAAACTCTTCAACAACAACCACAACAATAACAAAAACAGTTATGGCGCAGTGAGGAAATGCTTTCTAAAAGGGAACTTATAAATAAATCTACCATTAGCAGTATGGCAGAATTCCTCATAAGGATATACAAGTAATTTGAGTCCAAAGAGTCATGTTTACATGCCAGTATTTACATATATTAATGACATGATTATATAACTACGTACTCGTACTGGAATGAACAATTAAAAGGCCAAACACAGCCATGATGCAGGAAACGGTAAAGTTTAAAGCAACATGGAATTTCTCAATATCTCACCTACCCTGACAGCTGCCTTCTTTCTCTTACTCCCTGGCCACATTCAAGTCCCCATTTAGCACAGGGATGTCAAACTCAAGGCCGGGGGGAAGGGGGGGAAACGGGGGGGGGGGGGCAGATCTGGCCTGCGGGGTGCTTACATCTGGCCCTGGAAATAGCGAACAACCTGCCTGCAGTGCCTCTGCTAGCAAAAATGGAGCTCAGGAGGACTACACACGGCCCTCTCGGGCTCTGTTTTCCCTGTCAGAGGGTTTCAGGAGGCCATCACAGATGGAAACGAAGCTTGGGAGTCCGTTTTCACTGGCAAAGCGCTCGGGCCACCAAAGGCGCCCCTGACATGAGTAACATTGAGCTGGCCACCCATCCACCCCCTCCGACGTCAAACATAATCCTGATGCGGCCCTCAGTGAAATTGAGTTTGACAAACATGGTTTAGCAGCTTACAATAAACCACAAAAGCTCTCATTCCTAGTAACTAACATGAAACTATATTATTTTATTTCAGACCTGTTAGCATATTAAATCAAGGTGGAAGAATGGAATGAAGAGTGCAATGAACCTTACCTATTTAGGATTACTGTGACGCATTAATCTGTGTTTTGGAGCAATGCAATATATCAACTTTGTTGTTAGGATTCATCCAAGGAAACAGGACTAAAACAAACTATGACTCAATGCGTAGTTTGTGCATTATGAACCCAACAAATTTCTCACATTCTAGGGACTGAGAAACTAAGAGAATGTGGAAACCATTCCTGTCGCTTATTTGAAATTTTATAAGTAATTAAACATGGCACATAATATTATACTGTGGAGTCTTCCCATTCAGGAGGTTGGCCAACCATGTGACATTTCATGACTGCCCAGTCCATTTATCCCATAAACCTTCCATCTTTCCCCTCCCATTATTTAGCATTATGGAGGTACAAGGCACAAGTCCACATGGCATGTCTTGTTTTTGCTTTAGTTTCTTTCTTAAGCTTTTTGTATTTCTTTTTACATTTTACAAAACCTGGGGCTTCACTGAGCTTTTTGGGACCTTGTTCTTGTTATTCAGGGTCCCTGTTTTGGGTGCAATAATGCCGCATGAATGTGCTTTAGAAAGACTGATGACTACGGTAATGAAGACTCATTATTCTACCTCCCTGGCACACAGACACACCAGTCCTATCTAATGCAGGTCCTCCTAAACAGGAGTAACCACCATAGAATGTTTTTCCAGTAGGCTGGCTGGGGAATTCTGGGAGTTGAAGTCTTCACACCTCTAAGCCACCGAGGTTAAGTAACATTGATCTAAGAATTTGGTGGGGCAGAGTGAGGGATGGAATAGCATACTATGGTGATACTGAAAGCCAAGTATTCAGGGATTATGTAGCAATTCAGATGTATGAGCAGTGTCTTTTACCGAGTATCAGCATAAATTATACATTTATGAAATGTAATTTATGTATCAGTCAAAGTTTAAAACCTGAACGTAGTGAACGTAGGTGTATGGATTTTTTAAAAAATTTTTTAGATTTTCTAATCCTGTCTTTTTTATTTTTACAAGTAATTCAAAGTGGCAAACCTACTTAATGTTCCTTCCTCCTCCTATTTTCCCCACAATAACAACCTCATCAGGTAGGTTGGGTTGGTCTGAGAGAGAGTGACTGGCCCAAAGTCACTCAACCGGCTTTCATGCCTAAGGCGGGATGAGACCACAGTCTCCTGCTTTCTAGACTGGTGCCTTAACCACTAGATCAAAGTGCCTTGGGGATAAGTCTACATGATTATGAGAAACAGGATTTGTTACTACCAATTTTATGTTTTTTTCCTGGTTGGTTAATAAATTTCAGTTGATGAGATCACTTTTTCATTTTAAACTGTAGATTTATTTAAAGCCACCATTCATTAAATACTTTTTTTTCATAAACACCCTTTTTAAAATTAAAAAAAAAGATCACTATCCTATTCCAATTTACTAATAGAACCCCTGTAGCAGGGGTATCAAACTCGATTTCATTGAGGGCTGCATCAGGGTTATGTTTGACCTTGGGGGGGGTGGGGGCGCAGCTTGACGTCACTCGTGTCAGGGGTGCCTGTGGTGGCCCGAGTGATCTGCCAGAGAAAACGGGCTCCCAAGCTCCATTTTTGGCTGCAATGGCCTCCTGCAACCCTTTGCCAGCGAAAACGGAGCTCGGGAGGGCCGCACGCAGCCCTCCTGAGCTCCGTTTTTGCTAGCAGAGGCACCGTGGACTGGTCCTTCACTGTTTCAAGAGCGGCCACGCGGGCCAGATCTAAGCACCACGCAGGCCAGATCTGGCCAGTGGGCCTTGAGTTTGACACCCCTGCTTTATAGTCTTCTTCAGAGGACCAAGAAGTTTCACTTATATGGTTCTTGGTGCCTGGATGCTTATTCCTGTGCAAAGAAGGATCTTTGTCCCAAGAGTTTTACACTTTACCAGTTATATTAATGAAGACTATAGTTAAAATGTTTTACACAGACTTGCCAGAATAGTTTGTAAATGAAGCTTGCTGATGGTAAATCCCATTCTTATAATCTTTTGAGAGAGACAGTTTGTTTGGCAAACAGAAAAACAGCTTTGACTTGTAATCCAGATAAAATGTCTATTCTTTTTGCCCTATTGTGTTCTCAAATGTTCTCATTAAGTAAACTTGCTTTATTGTTATTAATATTTAGGATCTTACAAAGGTCAACATCAAAGCTTCATTTATTCACCTGCATGTGAAGAAACCAAGCCAGCCAATTAAAGCTCTATAATACAATCCTTCAGATCTTTTGGGTTCTCAGTTCTAAATGAAGATATTGTTAGTATAGCTCTTTAAGCTTACAATTTACTTGTATTTATATATTTGTGTTTATAAATTAATAAATACTTGTATTTATACTTGTATTTATTTGTGAAATATTCATATATTTATAAAAAGAGCCAAGACCCCTGTTTTTCTTCTTTCCACCATTTCTTATTTATTTTGATAATAGTTTTTATATACAAGGAAGCTGAGTGTTTACCCTCACTTTCAGCCTAAGGAATAAAATATGTCCTCAACTTTATTGATGAGGGCAACACCCCGAATCTCAGGATGCTTTTGGCTCAATTTTTAATATAGTTTGCATACTGTTTCACACTGTCCCACCTACATTTTTTAAAAAGTCCAATAATAGTGACAAAGAAGCAAATTGGAAATGAAGTTAACATTAGTTAGACTAATTTTTGAGACACAGAATCGTACAGCATAAAACAGAATTGACACCTGCAAGTTCCTCTCTAGAGACAGGGCTTAGACCCTGATGGCAAACGTAGCCATATCGGTGGGCATGCAAGCTCAGCTCTGGCGCGCAAGTTCCTCTCTAGAGACAGGGCTTAGACCCTGATGGCAAACCTGTGGCACGCCTAGCCATATTGGTGGGCATGCGAGCTCAGCTCTGGCGCGCACGCTGATTTTCGGGCCTTCTGGGCCTAACAGAAGTAGGGAAAAAGGCTATTTCCTGCCTCCGGAGGACCTCGGGGAGGGGGAAGGAGGCCCGTTTTTCTCTCTCCCCAGCCTCCAGAGCCTTTCTAGGAGTCTGGGGAGGGCAAAAACGGCCTTCCCCACAGCCCGAAAATGGCCCATTTGCCAACTTCTGGTCCCACACCAGAAGTTGACAAATGGGCCGTTTCCGGCTTCCGGGGGGGGGGGGTTCACCCTCCCCAGACTCCTAGAAAGGCTCTGGAGGCTGGGGACATCAAAA